GGATCCTCACTTTCTCGCTGCTCTTCGTCCACGTCTGCGAGTTCGCCGAGGGCATCGTCTCCGACAAGTGAGACAAAGACACCAAAGTGCTGATTCTGAGTATAAACAGGTCTCTCTTGAGAATGAGACCCTGTGTCTCAATGAGATTTACACCTGTATAAATAAAAAAATAAAGCTTTTTTTTTTTTTTAACTGAATTTTTTTTAATAAGAAAGGGCGGAGCTTATGCCGGCTCATGCGGAACCGGGCAGATACTGGCCGTTTCTCAATATTGAGTATACCTGCTGCAGAGCCACTATTTCAAGTATACTACGTCATCAAGTGGCGCCGAATGCTGGGCATTTAACATGCATTTAAACAGTCCTTCGGAGCCACTCGATGACGTAGTATACTTGAAATAGTGGCTCTGCAGCATGTTCACTCGACATTGAGAAACGGCCTCTGTCTAAAATGCTGATGAAATGCAAGGATGATTAGATCAAGGATTCTCTCTGAAACAGTTTGGAGCTCAAAGGCTTTCTCTCTTGCCGGTTATACCACAAGGTGAGTTCCTTTTTACTTCCTGCTTCTTCACACACATGCTCTCCAGTACAGGTTAGCTCTGAGTGTTAGCGATGCTAATGTAAACACCGACCATATTACGTCCAAAACAGTCGTGCATTGTTTCTGATAGCAGCGTTTCTGATTGGGCCGTGGGTCCACATTTCAGATATGACGTCATATCGGACGCAAATCTGGATCAGCTCCGTTGTTCCCCGTTTTTAGAGATGTGGGTACGGAGGAAAAGAGAGGGTTTTATTTTCTGACGCTGCGTGAGTTCCCCGACACACCGGGGACACATGATGACGTAGAGAAGTGCATTTTTCATGATAGGTCCCCTTTAATATGTATATGTATAAATGTGTCTTTTGGTTGTGTATATATTAGGGATGGGAATTTGAAAGCAAATTTATATTCGAACATTCGACCCCCAAAAAAACGGTTAACCGCTGAATCATTTTGAATATTCGATGAATCATTCCCATCCCTAGTATATATAGCAATATACATATTTGCATATATATTTGTTTTTGTATTCCGGATTGTGGGAAACGGTATTTCGATCTCTCTGTCTGTACACACAAACTGAAAGATTGACAATAAAGTTGACTACTTTTTTTCTTCCTTTTCGCCCCAAATGAACCTTTTAATATCCACATGTTAATAGTTCTTATATTTCCCCCTCTTGCTGTAGGATGATGCTGACCACCACCCACCTTCATCTCTTCTTGCCGGCCTTCATGGGTTTCATCGCCGCGACAACATCAGTCGTTTACTATCACAACATCGAGACGTCCAACTTCCCCAAACTGCTGCTTGGTAACACTCATTAAACCTCGTCTGTTTTAGCTTTAACCTTTTATTAAACTAGTACATCCTTTCCAGCTTTTAAAAGAGGACTCAACTCGTTCATTATTGCACTTACATAACATTGTTGGATCCAAAAAAAGGATACAAATCTTAAGAAATCAAAAAATGTTCACCCTTTTCAGTGCTCATATATATTTTAATGTACATTTTAAGACAAGAACACGTCCAACTTTCCCAAACTGCTGCTCGGTAACACGCTAAAACCTCGTATTTTTTTGCTGTTCCCTTTTAATAATCCAGTATATCATTTCAAGCTTTTAAAGGAGGACTCGACAGATTTCATATTGTGTTAAAATTACATTGTTGGATCCAAAAAAAGGGTACAAATCTAAGAAATCAAAATGTTCTCACCCAATCTATTTCCTTATTAAAACCTGGCACTGACATTACCCACAATGCAACTCTGGAGCTGGTAATCATGTTTCCTACTCCACACCTGACTCAAGTGACATCTCTTGAGGACATTTATCAGACTAGTTTTTCACAAATTCACCTGGAAACACGCGTTGATGTTTAGAAATCAGAGACAATGACACAAGGAATATTCAGGAAGTATTTTCTTGTGCTCATATATATAGATTTTAAGTTACATTTTAAGATCCGTTATGTACCCGTGCGTTAATACGACACCACATCCCTCTCCTGTCTCCTGTTGCTCAGTCCTCTTCATCTACTGGGTGTTGGCGTTCATCACCAAGTCCATCAAGCTGTGGAAGTTTGCATCGCACGAGGTGGGCCCTCAGCACCTGAGGTTCTGCATCACGGCGCTGTTGGTGCTGCTGTACGGGCTGCTGATGGCCGTGGAGATCAACGTCATCAGAGTCAGGGTGAGGAGGCATCTGACGCCACTTTTTAAACAAAAAAACAAGTTGTAATTAACAATTGCATTTTTTTTAATGATTTGGTCACCATGTGCTTTTGGCATCCATATAATATAGATATTTTTATGCAATTTATTAATAAGTTGTCTGTCAATTTTGGTTGATTAATTTTGTCCTTTTCTCTCCCCGTAGAAGTACGTGTTCTTTGCCAACCCCCAGAAGGTGAAACCCCCCGAGGATTTGCAGGATTTAGGCGTTCGCTTCCTGCAGCCGTTTGTCAACCTGCTGTCTAAGGTACAAACAAACACACTTTTATATGTATTTTATTGTTTCCCTCAGAAACATAAAAAATAATTTGTATTTATATATTTTGTAATGTTCCAATGTTAAAGTTACATTTTTACATTTTTAATTAATTGAATTTCTTACATTTTCTATTTTTAATTGTATTTTTTAAAATTATTTTATTCTATTAATTAATTTTACAGATGAATAATCCCAAAAATATATATAAATAAATAGTGAAATAAATAATACAAATTACAAACCAAATTACAGGTACAAATAAATACAATTTACAAAATGTTAAAAATCATATCAATAAACGAATCAATTAGAGATACCATCAGGATCGACTGAAATGCAACAAAAGGTGCACTCTATTAAAAAATGTAGGCCATAAGATATAATTTATTCATCACAAAATATCACCTGTCAGCGGAGTAACCAGGACAAATTCTTGACACTTTTTAGGCAACATATTGGTGGATGAATCCTCTGATTATCGGAGCCCACAAGAGGCCGATCGAGTTGAAGAAGATCGGGAAGCTGCCCATCGCCATGAGAGCGCTCACCAACTACCTGAAGCTCAAAGACGCCTACGAGGACCAGAGGGTGAGTGGAGGAGGTCGAAATCTGACATGGTGATAGTATCGGAAGAATGATTTAGTCACGTTTAATGAGAGACTCTGAAAGTTTCAGGAACAAAGATTCTCTCTCTTTTGATCCATTTCTATAAAAACCTGTCTGAAAATGAGCTGATCAGATTTTGGCCACTTTATGATGTCATAACGATGTGTTGTCTTGTGTAACCATTAGCCAATCAGCAACAAGGTAACCCCCCCCCCCTTATCACCTGAATCTCCTCCTAGAGCACCATTGAGTTCTTTGTAACCAAATGTCTCTCAGAGGGGCGTGGGGAGGGGCTCCTTATTTTCATCTAAATTAACAGACAGAGAATCAGCACTTTGGAAACAGGACTGAAACAGAGGGGATTATGGGTAATGCTGCAATGATCTGTTTGGTGTTTCAGCCAATCAGAGACAGGTTCTGTTTATATCTGAGACCTGTGATATATTGATGAAGAACAGTATATTAGGGGTCCTTTAAATCCCTCCTCCCCCCTCAGACAGCAGAGGATCCCAACAAAGCCCCGTCCATCTGGCGCTCCATGTACCGAGCGTTCGGACGGCCCATCCTGCTCAGCTCCACCTTCAGATACCTGGCCGACCTGCTGGGCTTCGCCGGGCCGCTCTGCATCTGCGGCATCGTCAAGTACCTGAAGAAGGACAAGTTGTCAGAGCAGGACAAGGCCAAGGTAGGAGAGGAGGTGTGTGTGTGTTGTATGTGTGTGTGTGTGTGTGTGTGTGTGTGTGTGTGTGTGTGTGTGTGTGTGTGTGTGTGTGTGTGTGTGTCTACATTTGACCTTAAAACTTCTAAATATAACAGATGAAAGGCACCTGGAATATTGTTGCATCCACCTGATCCATTTTTCTCTCTTAATACATATATACTTTAGGACTGTCTTTGTTGTAAATGTTGTATCCTTTAATGCAGTGGTTCTCAACTGGTGGTCCGCGACCCAAATGTGAAAAATGACATACAGAGACATACAGTACGTGTAATCTGTGGTATTGGGATATAAATTAAAGAGGACTAAACTCTAGAACCCCTCTAAGCTTTCGAGACGATAATCTCGATCAAATAATCAAACACTTTTGAAAAGATACATCATTTTACCTTGAAGATTTTCGTTTTTTTAATCTGCCCTATGATTAAACAACCAATGGTTTGCTGAGAGCAGCTCTTAGTGTGAGGGTGGTGTCTTGGATTTGTTTGTGATCAGTAATTCAGTCAAGTTCAATTCCCGTCTTTTGCCAGTACCTGGAGGGGAAAACGCAGATCCTTGCTTCTGTGGAAATGCTTTGAGGCGTTCCTCAGGGAAATCAAAGATAAATCAAAGGCTGGAGGAAGTTGTTGCATGGATAAAGTGCACTGCATTAAGTTCAAAATTCAATTAAAAGTCTATTAGTCTTATGAAGGTTTACACAGGGTCATTGATAGAGTCAAGGCTGTTGGAAGAGAGAACAGCTTAGACCCCATTTACACGGGAACGTTTTAGTTTACGCACCGTATGCGTTTTCCAAAAAGTCTTCCGTTCACACGAAACCGCTCGACCCGCTGGAAACGCTGTAGTACATATGCCGGGCCTGTAAGTGGCGCTGCTGCCGCCACAAAATACACCAAAAGCAGCAAAGAAGACCCCGTAGCTTGGTTGCCATGGTTGCCCTTCTGTTTATTCTCCGCGGTGGACGGCGTGTGCTCCTGCTGTAAATCTCTCCGGTAGTCCACCAGCAGTCCACCAGCAGGGACGAGGGAACCGTGCGGCAGAGTTTCGCCGGTCAACATGTCCTTTAAAGTTTAAATCTTCCGGACAAAATTAGAAAAGTGCCGGTCAGAGGTCTTCTTTGTTATTTATTTAGCTTTAAAACAAATTGATAAGGACTCTATATAATAATATAAGAATAAAAAACGGAGCCTCTCTTTTCCTCCCCCTCTTCGGACAGCCCAGCAGCTGATCTCTGAGCGGGAAAGGTGGGGAGAGGGAGGCGGGGCTATTTAATCGTTATCAGGAAATGATCGTATAGGGCGTACACACGGAGCCGCTTGACCCCCCAGACCGTTCCGTTTGCAGATCTATCCACCTTGGGGTCCGTTTCTATCGTTTTGTTACGGCCTCGTGTAAACGAAAGGGCTATACGTAAGAGAAACTATGCGGATACAACCCGTATCGTCCTCGTGTAAACGGGGTCTTAATGCTCCAAATGGCTTCAGTATATGCTGACAGCTGTGAGATATAAAAGGACTGATTTGATTGAAAACTACCTTAGAAATTGATGAACAAAGTGCGATAAGAGGGTTGCATTTGAACAGCCTGTGGTGATCGAAAACTGAGACTCAGACGAGAAATGTAAACGTCATTAATTTTCTCTCCTGAGGAATCACTTTGGATATTTAAACGTGTCTCTAGACTGGTGTTCCTGGAGCCGTCAATGCGACCAAAGTTGGATTAAAGCGTTTACTCAATTACAGTTAAACCAAAATCAACTCCAAATGATGACATCATGGGTTGTCCACATTTCACCCTGATGTTGAAGCCAGTTTGATGTCACTGAGGCGTAGATCACAGTCATCATGTCACCACCAGAGTGTGTGTGACGTCTGAGTGTGTGAAAGGATATGTCTGTAATGTCATAAAGCCCTGAAATGACTTTACACACACACACTTGTAGTTGCATTTGTGTTGACCTTTGGGTGAACTAACACTCTGTTTGGGTCGATGAACGCTTCTACCCAAACAGCTTTTAATATGTGGACCTTTGTTGAAGTAATGCATTCCTTAAAGCTTACTCTATCTCTCTCTTGCACTGTTTCATGTTTTTTATTGTATTGTTGGAGACGCCTGGGACTTAATTAATGAATTGCCTGCACTACTATCAATGTGCAGGCTTAGTTATAGCTGCATATGTGAACTTTTCTACTATTTTTAACGTCCTCATCAAGCGACAGAGTGTAATATTGCAGTCTTTAAGCAAGTGTTTATCGCACACTAGTTGACATAAAGAACAAAAAAACGATAAATTGTGCAGCCCTTGGAGTTCATAAATCAACATCAGCGGGATCAAAGTTGTAGTAGGGCTGCTCGATTACAGCAAAAATCATAATCTCGATTATTTGGGTCAATAATTGATATCACGATTATTAAAAACGATTATCCATTTACTTTGAAAACATCAATTTAATGGAGAAAAAACATTTGAACAGTATGTTTTTAACAGTTGATTACCCTGAACTTTAAACATAACTCAACTGAAGAACCAATAAAAAAAAAAAAAAAAGTAATAATAATATTAAAAAAATAATCGTTTTATTTCGATTACGCTGTTTTCGTAATCGTTGCAAGCCATAATCGTAATTGCGATTAAAATACGATGAATTGAGCAGCCCTAACTTGTAGTTATTAATACAATAACCTAAAAACAATAGTATCTCCCGATGGCGGCTTAACAAAGCGGGTGCAGGCAGAGAGAAAGCAGAAGGTCCATTTGGCAGAGCCGATCACAGACTTCGACTCCTCTTAAATCCATCGTTACACACAGCAGACGCTCCTGTAATGGCAGTGTGTTTTCATTCAGTCCATTTGGCTGGATGTTGTTAGAGATGTGAGAGGCTGTCCGGTCTTCTGCCTTCCTTTAAAGTGGGTATAATGGGCAGGAGATAAAGAGCAGAGCAGCGCTGCATGGCTGAGTGACACGGAACATTCTCCACTCACATCACACTTTAAGACACACGCAGGCCTGCAGAGCATCACTATGTGCTTTTACTGCTACTGCTGTGTGTGCGTGTGTGTGTGTGTGTGTGTGTCCTAGCATTACTATACTTGTGGGGACCTAAATCTGTTTACACAGTCAAGTGTGGGGACTCGCCTCCCTTATGGGGACAAAATGGAGGTCCCCATGAGGGGAATCATTAATTTTAGGGTGAAGACTTGGTTAGGTTTAGGGTAAGGGTAAGGGTTAGGCATATGTTGGTTATGGTTAAGGTTAGGATAAGTCTCCAGGAAATGCATGTAAGTCAATGTAATGTCCCCTGAAGTGATGTATACATGGTATGTGTGTGCATATGTGTGTATGTATGTGTGTGTGTGTGTGTGTATGTGTGTGTATGTGTGTGTGTATATATTCCTTCACATGCTAAGAGTGGAATATATGGAAGGAATACTCCCATTGTTCACTATTTTCGAATGTTACTTCTCTCTTGATGTATTACCTTCAAATGTATATAAGTCTATGAGAAAATGAGCCTAGTTTTCTCTTGTTTATTACCTAAGATTGTAAGTCCATGAGAACATTTAGCTAATTTTCATTTGTGTTATTACCTCAGATTGTATAGAAGTCTATGAGAAAATGTCCTTACTTCCGGCAGTGGCTCAGTCAGAAGGGGCTTGGACTGGGAACTGTAGGGTCTCCGGTTCAAGTCCCCGACCAGACCTAAAAGATTGTATAGAAGTCTACAGTACTTCTGGCAAATCCAACAAATCCAGCTGCCCAAAAATATTTTACAATGATTTCAAATGTTTTTGATGAATTTCTGTTGTTTTCCTAATTTTCATTATCTTTCTTTTCTTCTTCTTTTACTTTAGGCATTGGAGGCGATGATGATTAGTGTAGCAAATGTGAGTTTATATGTTTTTATAATTATGATTCTATATTTTGTGATATTTTTTTATTCTGGATGTCTATCAAAAAAACTTTGTTGTCTGACAGCTGTTTCAAATAAAGATATAATAACATATTTATATAAACACGATAATTAAGTTAAAGCAAAAGTGTGCACTTACTTTGACTTTTCATGTTTATACACATATTACTTTTTCCTTTGACATTTATTTGTCATTTATTTTATTTAATTAAACAATTTAGCAAATGTCACAAAGCCCAATTTCCCCTGGGATAAATAAAGTGTTCTGATTCTGATGCCCTGCTCCATTCATTATTTTACCCTCAGTGGTTTATCGATAATTGCAAATTACTAGCTACAAATTAGAATCACCTTTATTGGGTGCGTCTCACTTCGGTTATTTCTCATTTCCTCGCTCCTCGGGCTCGGTCTCACCGGAAGTTGATTTGTCTGCGCCATCTTGAGTACCGTCCCAGTGGCCTTATTTGTGCCGGAGGATCGAGGAGTGATAACGGAGGAGCGATAACGGAGGAGCGATAACCGAGGAACCACCAGACCATCCTCCGGTGAAATCCTCAGACACTCGCCCCGCCCCCTTACTGTGTACCGCTCACTGATTGGACGATGCAGCGCATGCACTGATCTGGCTGCTGTCAGACGATCAGCTGTGCGGCGTCATCACAAACGGACGTCGCTTCACGTGACGCTCCGGAGGAAACGATGCCCCATTGCTCTTGAAACTAATTTCCCTGCTTCTCGTGGTTTCCTTGCGTCTCTCCATGCTTCAATGGTGGGAGAGACTAGATGCAGGGAAACGACGCAAGTGAAGGACGCAAGGAATCCATTTAACCGAAGTGAGATGCACCCATTGTCATTGCACAGAAATGCATTAAGCATCTAACCAGAAGTGCAAAACAAGTCAAATGCAGTGTTTGTCGTAGGATAATATAAATACAGACAGTATGAACACTATAAGGAGGTATAAACAATGAATGCACTCTAGATCAGGTTTAAAAAAAGACAGTATATCACCTGTTAATGTATCTGTGTGTGTGTGTGTGTGTGTGTGTGTGTGTGTGTGTGTGTGTGTGTGTGTGTGTGTGTGTGTGTGTGTGTGTGTGTGTGTGTGTGTGTGTGTGTGTGTGTGTGGTTACAGAACACTAAAATGGACGTGTACTTCATACCGTCCACCGAGCTGCTTCAGAACCCCTCAGTTCTCGCTGTTCTTCTCTTCCTGGCGTTGATCCTGCAGAGGACCTTCCTGCAGGCGTCATACTACGTTACCATAGAGACCGGCATCAACCTGCGCGGAGCCCTGCTGGTGAGTGAAGTGAAGCATTGTGGGTAGTGATGAAGTGAAGCATCGTGGGTATTTAACTCGAGACGCTTTGTTTACCCCATGCTGAGGTGTTGCTGTGAAAAGTATTCAAGAGAATGAAATGAAACAGAGAGGACATTTTCCATCGTCCTGTTTTTGGAAATGGAGACATTTAATTAATCATTTTGTTGAATGTGTCAAAGAGTAAGGACATTTTTTTAGAAGTTCTTACCTCTCTCTTAACGGTACAGTGATTAATGGACAGAATATTGAAAAGTAAATCCCCCTTTGGATGTTTACTAGACAATAAACCTACATTTGGGATTAATACTGACAAGAAAGTTCAAGTAAACAAAACCCTGATTAAAGAGTCCTCTCCTGATGATGTTCAGGTGTATATCAGTATGTAGTGTCTCTACTTTAAAGAGTCCTCTCCTCCTGATGTTCAGGTGTATATCAGTATGTAGTGTCTCTACTTTAAAGAGTCCTCTCCTGCTGATGTTCAGGTGTATATCAGTATGTAGTGTCTCTACTTTAAAGAGTCCTCTCCTGCTGATGTTCAGGTGTATATCAGTATGTAGTGTCTCTACTTTAAAGAGTCCTCTCCTGCTGATGTTCAGGTGTATATCAGTATGTAGTGTCTCTACTTTAAAGAGTCCTCTCCTGCTGATGTTCAGGTGTATATCAGTATGTAGTGTCTCTACTTTAAAGAGTCCTCTCCTGCTGATGTTCAGGTGTATATCAGTATGTAGTGTCTCTACTTTAAAGAGTCCTCTCCTGCTGATGTTCAGGTGTATATCAGTATGTAGTGTCTCTACTTTAAAGAGTCCTCTCCTGCTGATGTTCAGGTGTATATCAGTATGTAGTGTCTCTACTTTAAAGAGTTCTCTCCTGCTGATGTTCAGGTGTATATCAGTATGTAGTGTCTCTACTTTAAAGAGTCCTCTCCTGCTGATGTTCAGGTGTATATCAGTATGTAGTGTCTCTACTTTAAAGAGTCCTCTCCTGCTGATGTTCAGGTGTATATCAGTATGTAGTGTCTCTACTTTAAAGAGTCCTCTCCTGCTGATGTTCAGGTGTATATCAGTATGTAGTGTCTCTACTTTAAAGAGTCCTCTCCTGCTGATGTTCAGGTGTATATCAGTATGTAGTGTCTCTACTTTAAAGAGTCCTCTCCTGCTGATGTTCAGGTGTATATCAGTATGTAGTGTCTCTACTTTAAAGAGTTCTCTCCTGCTGATGTTCAGGTGTATATCAGTATGTAGTGGTCTCTACTTTAAAGAGTCCTCTCCTGCTGATGTTCAGGTGTATATCAGTATGTAGTGTCTCTACTTTAAAGAGTCCTCTCCTGCTGATGTTCAGGTGTATATCAGTATGTAGTGTCTCTACTTTAAAGAGTCCTCTCCTGCTGATGTTCAGGTGTATATCAGTATGTAGTGTCTCTACTTTAAAGAGTCCTCTCCTGCTGATGTTCAGGTGTATATCAGTATGTAGTGTCTCTACTTTAAAGAGTCCTCTCCTGCTGATGTTCAGGTGTATATCAGTATGTAGTGTCTCTACTTTAAAGAGTCCTCTCCTGCTGATGTTCAGGTGTATATCAGTATGTAGTGTCTCTACTTTAAAGAGTTCTCTCCTGCTGATGTTCAGGTGTATATCAGTATGTAGTGTCTCTACTTTAAAGAGTCCTCTCCTGCTGATGTTCAGGTGTATATCAGTATGTAGTGTATCTACTTTAAAGAGTCCTCTCCTGCTGATGTTCAGGTGTATATCAGTATGTAGTGTCTCTACTTTAAAGAGTCCTCTCCTGCTGATGTTCAGGTGTATATCAGTATGTAGTGTCTCTACTTTAAAGAGTCCTCTCCTGCTGATGTTCAGGTGTATATCAGTATGTAGTGTCTCTACTTTAAAGAGTTCTCTCCTGCTGATGTTCAGGTGTATATCAGTATGTAGTGCCTCTACTTTAAAGAGTCCTCTCCTGCTGATGTTCAGGTGTATATCAGTATGTAGTGTCTCTACTTTAAAGAGTCCTCTCCTGCTGATGTTCAGGTGTATATCAGTATGTAGTGTCTCTACTTTAAAGAGTCCTCTCCTGCTGATGTTCAGGTGTATAGGAGAGGGAAAACCCCCCAGAAAGCACAATAGGGCCTCTTTAATCGATACCTTTGTAAAATGAATGCAGCATCAAATCCATAGTTGTAATGATATATGTCTATGTCTGTTTCATTCCCTAGGCGATGATTTACAACAAGATCCTGCGTCTGTCCACCTCCAACATGTCGATGGGGGAGATGACGATCGGGCAGATCAACAACCTGGTTGCTATTGAGACCAACCAGCTGATGTGGTTCTTCTTCCTCTGCCCCAACCTTTGGGCCATGCCTGTGCAGGTAACAGCACCTCCATGCATTCAATGTTCTGTAATGATGTTGCATTAACAACTTTAATGGTTTGTGAATGTAAACTTGATTTATATTTAGTTTTTGTTATCGTTAATTTGTAAATTCAACATTTTCTACTTTCTTGTTTAATTCTAGTCTTTTTAATTTGTATTGTACAATGCCATGTCTTTCATGCTGCTGCAACACAACATTTCCCCAAATTGGGACCAATAAAGTACTTCTTATCTCATCTTATCTTCTTATCTTAAATGCCTTTTGTAGGTGAGGAAAACATACAAATAAAATATGGAGCTGGGGAAGCTTATATTAACAAGATAAATGATCAATTTAAAAACATAAAATGCATTTTTTTGGGTTAAGATATCCTCCTAAGATCCCCTTAAATCCCCCTTGACCCTCCTATTGCCTTCGTCCCCCCTTACTTTGGTGTTCGCGGTCAAATTTGACCGGTCCTGTTTAACTATATTACATTAACACAAAAACCATTAATCATCACCAAATGTCATTTAACACCCTTTCAAACTGTACATATTGTATCAGACTACTGGTGTACATGAAGAACTGCAGTAAATATACAAAGAACAGACACTGAACATGTATTGCATGTGCCAGGTGTGATCCATGTGGGGGAGGGGCACATAAGAGCGGGAAATGTTTCAAATTGTTCTGTGTGTGTGTGTGTCAGGTGTGATTCACATGGGGGGATGGGCACATAAGGGTGGGGGGGGTGTAACACATCTAGAGTATGTGTGTGTGTGTGTGTGTGTGTGTGTGTGTGGGTGTGTGTGTGTGTGTGTGTGTGTGTGTGTGTGTGTGTGTGTGTGTGTGTGTGTGTGTGTGTGTGTGTGTGTGTGTGTGTGTGTGTGTGTGTGTGTGTGTGTGTGTGTGTGTGATCCAGATGGTTACTTATTCCTTTTCTTTATGGCGGTCATGTGACCGGGAACACCATGGGTGTTACAAAGTTGACTAAATCATCCAAAATGCAATGAAAGTGGTGATCAGCCATTTTATATGTTCAAATGTCTACTGTGAGGGATATCATAAAGCCTTGATGAAATTGAATGTAAAACAAAAAAGTTATGATCGATGAAAGTAGTGAATCGGTCAGATTTGACCCGAAGACAACAGGAGGGTTAAGAAAAACACCTTTTTTTCTTTTAAATGTGTGACTTTAGTCAAGGTGTATCAATATTTTTTTGTAGAATAATCACATTTTGCAAGCATATGTGTCTATGATGTGATGAAGCTAAATCAACCTTGCGACGTGAAGTGATGTAGTTAAAAAAACAAACAAGAAATACCCAAACATTTTAAGAGTGTGGAAATGTGTCACTTGCACATGTTAATCTAATATCTTTTAATCAAATATCTTTTCATTTTAGAGATTGCTAATTGCTTTTTATTTATTTGTAGACCTCAAAAAGGAGTCGAAGAAACATCTGAGTTATTTCCCCGTAGTATTACCCCCTCCTCTAATTCCTCCGTATCATTTATTTGATCCTAAAACGACCCTAATTCCTCCTCTCTCTGCAGATTATTATGGGAGTGATCCTGCTCTATTACCTGCTGGGCTGGAGCGCTCTGGTCGGAGCGTCTGTTATCGTCCTGCTGGCCCCCGTCCAGTACCTCATCGCTACAAAGCTGGCAGACACTCAGAAAAGCACACTGGTGAGCGGCTGGCTTATATAACTGTTTATTTAAAAATGTTTCCAGAGATGGCAAAAGTACACACATGCTTTACTCAAGTAGAAGTACAGATACTCGTGTTTAAAATACTCTGGTGAAAGTAGAAGTACTGACTAAACTTCTTTACTCAAGTCAAAGTAAAGAGGCTTTGAAATGTACTTCAGTAAAAAGTACCCATAACTAGCAGCTGCTTTAAAGAGTACCTGACCTCCCTTTATATTAATAGAACAATAATGTCATTGTTAGCTAATGAATGTTTCCATGCTGAACAACGGCAACATGACAACGTTTCCATTGGTCCCTCTTCTTTAGAGAAGACCAGGAAATGATGGATACACGGATCGTGTTCAAATCAATAGGCACGCAATGACTCTAAAGAATAATGATCACGCACCAAACACACATTCAGACTAAAGGAACCAGCTGTTTGGAAAATGAGAGAAGTAGAAAGTACAGGTATTTGAGTTCAACATGTAAGAAGTAGAAAGTACAGGTATTTGAGTTCAACATGTAAGAAGTAGAAAGTACAGGTATTTGAGTTCAACATGTGAGAAGTAGAAAGTACAGGTATTTGAGTTCAACATGTAAGAAGTAGAAAGTACAGGTATTTGAGTTCAACATGTGAGAAGTAAAAAGTACAGGTATTTGTGTTCAACATGTAAGAAGTAGAAAGTACAGGTATTTGAGTTCAACATGTAAGAAGTAGAAAGTACAGGTATTTGTGTTCAACATGTAAGAAGTAGAAAGTACAGGTATTTGTGTTCAACATGTAAGAAGTAGAAAGTACAGGTATTTGAGTTCAACATGTAAGAAGTAGAAAGTACAAGTATTTGGGTTCAACATGTAAGAAGTAGAAAGTACAGGTATTTGAGTTCAACATGAAAGAAGTAGAAAGTACAGGTATTTGAGTTCAACATGTAAGAAGTAGAAAGTACAGGTATTTGGGTTCAACATGTGAGAAGTAGAAAGTACAAGTATTTGGGTTCAACATGTAAGAAGTAGAAAGTACAAGTATTTGGGTTCAACATGTAAGAAGTAGGAAGTACAGGTATTTGAGTTCAACATGTAAGAAGTAGAAAGTACAAGTATTTGGGTTCAACATGTAAGAAGTAGGAAGTACAGGTATTTGTGTTCAACATGTAAGAAGTAGAAAGTACAGGTATTTGAGTTCAACATGTAAGAAGTAGAAAGTACAGGTATTTGAGTTCAACATGTGAGAAGTAGAAAGTACAGGTATTTGAGTTCAACATGTAAGAAGTAGAAAGTACAGGTATTTGGGTTCAACATGTAAGAAGTAGAAAGTACAGGTATTTGAGTTCAACATGTGAGAAGTAGAAAGTACAGGTATTTGAGTTCAACATGTAAGAAGTAGAAAGTACAGGTATTTGTGTTCAACATGTAAGAAGTAGAAAGTACAGGTATTTGAGTTCAACATGTGAGAAGTAGAAAGTACAGGTATTTGTGTTCAACATGTAAGAAGTCAAAGTAAAATGTCATCAGAAAATAAGTAGTGGAGTAAAGTACTGATACCAGAAAAATGTACTTAAGTACAGTAACGAAGTATTTGTACTTCCCACCTCTGAATGTGTCATATTTCCTGCAGACTTCATGATGTAAACCCAGTATTTCACAGACTTTATTTCCCTCTGCTTTCAGGAGCACTCTACAGATCGTCTGAAGAAGACCTCGGAGATCTTGAAGGGTATAAAGTTGTTAAAGCTTTACGCCTGGGAGAATATCTTCTGCGACAGCGTGGAGGAAACCAGAGGGAAGGAGCTCACCAGCCTCAGGACCTTCGCCTTCTACACCTCCATGTCCAGTAAGATGGAGACAAACACCTGAGTTTAAATGATGCTAAATGCAGAAAATAGACCCTCTATGGGGATTGGTAAAGAAAGACAGGACATGTGGTATAATAATATAATAAAATTACAACTAAATAAAAAATTTAAAAAAAGTACATGTGACTTTGATAAGTGAATTAGTCTGTGTGTGTATAGGGAAATAAAACAGCAAGTCTTTTAGGCTTTAATTAGGGAAAAGTATTAATACTATACGGTAAAAATACTCCATTGCAAGTAAAAGTACTGCATTGATAAGTAAAAGTATTTAGGTTTGATAAGAAAAATGTACTCAAAGTATTGGGAATAAATACAAAATTAAAATATGTATTATTTACATTTTATACTCATTATATTCTATTAAATTATACATTTTCTTGATGTCTGTTCAAATTCTCTCTCTCTCCAGTCTTCATGAACGCTGCGATCCCCATTGCTGCCGTGCTCGCGGTAAGTCACTTTCACCTCAAATCATTTCTTCCTTCATCTCCATTGTGCTGCTTCTTTCTGCTTCCTTCAACTATAACATGACACGTGAATACCAACAAGGCTTACTGATCTTCACTTCTTGTCTCGTAGACGTTTGTGATGTCTCATTTCCTGAATGAAAAAGGCCCCACTCCTCACGAGGCCTTCGCTGCTCTGGCGCTGTTCCACATCCTCGTCACTCCTCTCTTCCTGCTCTCCACTGTGGTCAGATTCGCTGTGAAGGCTCTCGTCAGGTGAGTGTGTGTGTGTGTGTGTGTGTGTGTGTGTATGTGTGTGGCATAGCATTACTATACTTGTGGGGACCTAAATCTGTCTACACAGTCACGTGTGGGGACTCGCCTCCCTTATGGAGACAACGCTAACTTAGGGTTAGGCATGTGTTGGTTATGGTTAAAGTTAGGGTAAGTCTCCAGGAAATGCATGTAAGTCAATGCAATGTCCCCTGAAGTGATGTATACATGGTGTGTGTGTGTGTGTGTGTGTGTGTGTGTGTGTGTGTGTGTGTGTGTGTGTGTGTGTGTGTGTGTGTGTGTGGGTTGTGGACATGACTAAAAAAGGCTGTGATACAAACATCTAATTAAAGGAACATGGAGGAAACCTGACAGCAGGGAGGAGAAACTCTAACCTCCTCAGAGATTAGCGCTATCTGTGTCGTCACAATCATCCTCGCTCAAATGTGTGTGTGTGTGTGTGTGTGTGTGTGTGTGTGTGTACATTTGACCTTAAAACGTATAAATATAACAGACGAAAGGCACCTGTAAAGCTTTTCCATCCACCTGAATCCACATATTGGTGTGATCATTTTTTACTTTAGGATCGTTTTATCCTTTAATATAAATGTGTGTGTGTGTGTGTGTGTGTGTGTGTTGGCAGTGTCGAGAAGCTCAATGAGTTTCTCCAGAGTGACGAAATCGGAGACGACAGCTGGAGGAACGGTGACATGTCTGTTTCCATGGAAGCAGGAAAGAAACACTCAGGCGGGGTGAGTGTTAACGAGTTCTAACGAGAACAGGATCAATTAGCACAATTATCTTCGTAACACCAGTTTGAATTCATATCAGGATTTCAACAGGAACTTTGTGGTTTGTATTCAGTCTCGTTAATACCTGATATCTGCAGAGGATAGACACAGCTGAAAAGTAGCAGATATTCACACTTCTTTATAAAATCCTTGAGTTCTTGGAAAACCTTGTGGATCTTCATCTACAAACAGTTTTGGAGTCTCCGCAACTTTCGGTAGAAATGTAAACATCCCACTTGTTTTACTTTCAAGCTAATTTAGTAGACAGTAGAAATAAGACCACAGTCGATCAAAAGGCAATAATTATAAGACCCTGGTATTCAAAACCACAAATGTTCCTTGAGTTTATTCCAACATTTCAGTGCCTTATGAAGAAGGGCATACTTAAATGCAAAAAAGGACTATTTTATTTAAGGTAGGGGTCTTTTGGATAAAATCAGGCACCTGTTTATCTGCAGAAAAGGAAGTCAAACTGTTAAAAAAGCAGAAAGCAACGAGTAAATCTGCGGCAAAGAATGCCTCTAATTAAGATCTGAGACTCGTGCAACTCACAGAAGTCACATTAAATATCTGCTGGGTAACGAAGAGCTGAAAAAACAAATCAAACATTCATGCCATTTTAAAACAGATGCCAAGACATCCTTTTAAAACTGTTTTATAGACATCGTTTCATGGTTTTTAAACACGAGTATCTGTACTTCTACTTCAGTAAAGGATGTGTGTACTTTTGCCATCTCTGCTACTAAAATACCAAATGTACATGCAGAGCAGCGCCTCTGATGAACAGGATGTTTTCTATGTGTCTGGATAATGTGTGAGCAGTGGGATTTGAACCTTCGGGGTTAACATCCTCCGTCTCAGAGGGAACCCCCGCTCTACTTCCTCTCCCCGAGGAACTGAAGCGGATGCAGGAAAGTCTTCAGTTTCATATTTATTGCTAACTTCATCTCTCTCTCTCTCTCTGTGTGTTTTAATGTCCCCCTGAAGACCAAAGCCATCAACAGGAAGCAGCCGATACGCTACCAGATGGATAACTACGAGCTGCCGACCAGGCGACAGATGAGACCCACGGAGACGGAGGATGTGGCTGTCAAGGTCAGGGTCAAAGGTCACGTTTAGGGGAATGGTTAAAGGGGGGGAAAGATTATAGGGAAAAAACTGCCATATATACTGTTAGAAAAATCTCACTTGTCCCCGGCTTGAGCTTGAATCTCAGGATCCATGTATCTGTGATCCTCTCCAGAATGGAAGTAGTCATCACATACAGAGCATCAAGTAGTTCCTGAACAGTGTCCTTCACATGCTGATATCCAAGAGAGGGAGTTACACAGTCACAAGATGGAGGAATAGAAAGCAGTATTCAATGTTTACTTCAGATTAGCTCCACGTCAGAAATGAGCATGCTTGATGTCTCTCTCCATAGAGGCTGAATCATCATGTTAATCACATAGCTATCATATGCCTCAAACAGTCCTGATGCTCTTCTAGGTAATCACACATCCTGTCATGTTCACAGCTACAGTTGGGATACCTTTGTTATCATGTTACTCTCATACTGGAAGAGGACATTCAGTATTTTCCCAACATGTACCATCCATACTTCCGCTCCCTTTCCCCACGTTTGATTATATCTGATCTTGCCTGCCTTCCTTTACTGCCAAGGTCAAATGTTCAAAAGATTTTTAACTGGGCCTTTTTTCTGACTTTTTCAGTAGTTATCAATGAGGAGAGAGCCGTCACTTTAATCTACAGCAACAAAAGGGCTGAACCCATTTTTACTTTACAGAAAAGCGCCTGCAGAAACTGGAGGAAAAGCTCATTTTTGGCAGTGTATTTCAGCAGTGGCTCAGTCAGTAGCGGCTTTGACTGTGAGCCGTAGGGTCGCCGGTTCAACTCCCCGAACAGACCTAAATATGGAGTGTGGACTGCTACTTGGAGAGGTCCTAGTTCACCTCCTGCCCTGAGCAAGGAACCGGACACCCCTCATTCCCATTGCTTCCAGGGCGCTGTACAATAGCTGCACTGCTCCTGGTACTAGACTCCTGGTACTAGGATGGGTTAAAAGCAGAGGACACATGTCACTGTGTGCTGTGCATGTGAGACCATTAAAGAGGGTTTCATCCCTCCCTATTCTATTCTTCTATCCTATAAAAAAGACCAATAAATGAAGAAGATCAGCCAGGCAGACACTTGTTGTTCCTGCCGCTGAGTTTTGTATTTCTAACGCTACGGCAGTCAAACTGAGCAGGAAAAAGGCCCATTGATAATGAAGTGTGAGAGCAAGCATGTTCATGGTGTTGTTGCATGGTGAAAAAAGGGTGTCAAACTAATTCAAAGTAGCACCAAAAGAGGTAGAAAAAAGGCACGTCTGTCTTTTAAAAACGGTGTCAAGATATTGAGACTTTATGATAGCCATGCAAACACACCATGTGGACAAAGGGTCTAAAGCCCCGGACACTCCAAGCCGATTTTGGCCTTCGATGGATGTCAGGCCGACGATGAGCGTCGTGTTGCCCTACTCAGATTGGTGTGTCCCGCACCGTCGTGTCTTTTCGGCCGTGCCGACACCTTTTTGGCCGATTGCCTACCGATTCTATATGTCGAATGGGTAGGCAATCGGTCAAAGGCTGTCAGTCAAATAAATCACTCTGATTGGCTGTTCAGCTAGCGAATCAGTGCATGAGAAGCTAAACGGAAGTGAGGGACCCAAACAAACTATTAAGAAGGCAAATCTGAGTGTATCACGCAGTCTGTCTTCCGGTTGTTGCCTCTTTTGAATGACGAATACACACTACCGCCGCCTGCTGGTAAGGAGAGTTATTGCCACTCACGCATGCGCAGTTCGTACGTGCTTCTTGGCCGTAAACTGAAGTCTTTGCGGTGTGTTCCAGTGCGACACATGGCCAAGACGCAACAGTCGGGGTCCGTCTGTGTCAGTTCTTTGGTGTCAGTTCTTTGGTGTCAGCTTGGTGTGTCCCTACGTTAAGGTTCGATAGCTCTTTACAGGAAGTTATTTTAGACGTAGAACCTGCTTTTTTTAATGCAGCCTCTATAATCCGTCCATTATTAATCCCAGTTTCCTCCTATTACGTAATGGTGTCCATCTTTCTTTAAAAACGTCCCTCTGTAATCGTAGCATATATTATGTACTTTTTTAGAATTGTCAGCCACTCGCCATCCATTCTATTTGTGGGGGCACCGCACCCCCCCCCCCCCCCCTCCCCGCAAGAAAAGCCAAAGGCTCATTGTTAATGAGTGAGACACACCGGAGTTGAGGATCTGTGGGGTTTATTCTCCTAAAAATATAATTTAGGCATTTAGCAGACGCCTTATTCCAAAGCGACTTACAATGACCGATTACAGGGACATTCTCCCTGGAGCAACTGAGGGCTAAGTGCCTTACTCAAGGGCACACTAGTGGTGTTCCAGGCGGGATTCGAACTCGCAACCTTCCGATCATCAGCCCACCTCACTATCCATTAGACCAGTGTTTTTCAAAGTGGGGGCCGCCAGGGGGCGCCATGGGGGTCACGCAAAGTTTGAGGGAAACAGAATTTTTTATTTAAAAAAAAAAAAAAATGTTTTCTTTTTTTAGATGTTATTAATAACTGTATATTAATCAATCTATGTGTCCTTTGATGCCAATCTTTTAATATTTTTTGTTTTTGAATCACACGGACACCCTTCAAGCCAATCAGAATCGAGCTGCCGCTACTGAGAGTGAAAATCTGCTCAGCTTTTGGAGCAAGTGAGAGCTAGTGAATGTTTCGCTCTGCAGCTGGACGAGAGCACGGATGTAGCAAATGTCGCAGAAATGCTTGCATACATCAGATTTATTTCAGAAGACAACTTTGTTGAGGAAATATTATTTTGCAAAGCACTGGAAGGTAGGACCACATGAAGAGACATTTTCCAAGTTTTAGATGAGTACATCATCTCAAACGGACTTGACTGGTCTCGTTGTGTGGGTGTGTGTTCAGATGGGGCAGTGGGGCTGTGACCGGCAAAGAAAGCGGAGTGACAGCTTCGATCAGGCAGAAGGCCCCAAATGTAGTGGCAACGCACTGCATGCTCCATCGCGAGGCACTTTTTTTTAAAACAGGGGGGTCCCCGCCAGAGGATAATGCTATATGGGGGTCCTTGGCATGGCAAAGTTTGGGAACCCCTGCATTAGACCAACAAAAAAAAAAAAAAAAAAATATTATTATTTTTTTTTATCAGATCCATTCGTGGCGGACGATATTTATTTGTGGCGCCACAAATAAATCAATGTATGCCATCTTATTGTAATCGTTTTATTGGCCGCTGTTAGTAATATTTGTAAGAGGTAGAACCAGGTTTTTAATAAAGTAGGAGTAGAAAACGTGATGTCAGAGGAACTAGAGATGAACTCAACTATCCTGACGACTGCTGGAACTTTTACGACCCCACATACTGATAAAGTTTAAGGAGGCCTTAGGGGGAAAGACAGCTTTATATACAGAAGGAAGAGCGGCCAGTTTAATAAGAGTGGGGATAGAAGAGAGGGCAGTTAAGAGGGGGAAAGATACAATAACATAAGTAGGCCTCGTCATTGGTTTAAGTGTTTTTTAAGACAGATTTTTTTATTTCCAACACACCCAAATGTTGTCATGTAAGAAGACAATAATAATTAACTCACAAACATGTTTAAAAAAAGCTAAAGTTATTTCCAAAAAACAACAGAAATACATCATAAAATGACACTTGCATACATTTAAAAACAGACGTTAAAAAGCCATAATACAAATGAATAGTGGTTTTTAAACATATTATTAGATGTTTTTGTACATGATTTGCTTCAATTATGTTCCTAGTAGTTTTATAATAAAAAATAATAATGCCAGATCTTTTCTTGACAAATTGGCACTTCTAGACAGTGGATCATATAATAACATAATTAAAAATTAAAAGGCAATTACCGATACACAGGCTAAATCGTGTATACCTGCTATGCTAGCTCTAAAATAAACATTAACACTTTCAGGTGTGTTTTAAACAAGATGTATTTATAAATATATAAATACAAGTCTTTAAAATTGTTGGTTGGGTTTAAACTGACACTATTTTTGCAGATATTTCTGTATTTATGCGTTTAATTTTATGGTGGAGGGTCGTTATCTCTCACACATACAGAGACACGTAGGAGCTGCTCTCTAATACCGCCATTTATTTAACAACGTCAACAGCTGTTTCATATCTCGTGTGTTTGTACATCCATGGGTCACTTCTGGGTGCGTGGAATCATACGTGTACTCTGTCTTAACAGGAAGTGTAGGATTCACACGAGAATTAGCTAACCCCTCAAAGGGCCTTGTGAATGAGTCCGACTTTTTCTCAGCGCTGCACTTCCTGTCTCTTCTCTGCAAAGACGTCGGTCACTTAATTAAAACGAGAGGAAGCGAAGGGTTTTCCATACCATCAGTCTTGGTTGTGAGGATTTGATTTATCATCTATTAAACATTACATAGGCTAAGTGTGTCACTCACTACCCAAGCATTACACCCATATATGATATATATATATATATATATACAGTTTATGTTGTATTTATTGCCATCAATATGTAGCGTTATCCACTTTTTTTTAACGTTTCTTTTAACCAATGTGGTACGATTGTTTGATTTGATCCCAAAATGTGATGTTTGGGTTTGTAGTCAGGGCCACAAACAAGTTATTCCACGAGAAACTCACACAAAAAAAATGGTTCTCTCTTAAACTAGCTTTGTCCACGGGGGTATTGCCTTAAAAAATATAAGTAAAGACACACAATTGCAAGCTCTTGAAATACTAATGCATATATGCAGTGAGAGTTACCTAGGAAATGTCGTTGTACTTTGTATGATGGCAATAAAGATATATTGAATAAAGAAAAGAATATCAATCAATATATAAATAAACATTGATTGATTGATATTCTTGATATTCCTATCTATCTACAGTACAATGCTGTTCTGTAGCATTGAGTGTGTCGTTCTTTGGGACCCAAGATGTTCTCCTACTGGCTCTATGCAAATAAAAAAACTCATGCAACCAGATTATGTGCAGCTCATAAGTATGTGTCTGTAGGTGTTTTT